AAAGCACACACAACCCACAATTCCTCTATTCGCTCCGACGAAGGGCCAACGCTCGAAATGTCGGCTTTTGTAATCGTTACGGTGGCCAATTTACCATTTCAACTTTGTTGATATATCCAAATTATTTCGTTACCTCCACCGACGCAGCCCCAAACAGTTTTTTTCGAAACTATCAGCCTTTATTTTTTTGTTTGTTTGTTTGTTTGTTTGTGGTTTTTTTTTTCAGCCTAAGTAAAAACTTACTTTCTCTCGCTTATAAAATTTTATTTTACACTTCGGCAGAGTTAAATGGCAATCAAAAAATTTTGTCTGGATGAAAACAACAAACGAGTATCTTTTAAATTCTTCTCTCGCTTCTCGGTCTTGGATAGATCTCGCTTCCTGCCCTCTCCAGTCCCCTTCTCCCGCTCCCTCTGTCCCTCTCCACATTATTGATTGCAAGAAGTTTTCAAACAAGAAGATAGGCTGGAAAATTCATAGGATGCGGTGATAGAGTACTTATCACGTAAGCCGATGACAGTGTCAATTCGTGTCTAAAAGCGGAATATAGCCACAAATAGAACAACCCGACGATTGAGCAGAACATTTCACCGCCGCCGTGAATAATCCCATGGCGCGAAACAGATGTTTATAGATCCAGGTCATCTCGGACAACTGTACGTTTGATTATCAAATCGTGACAATCAGATGTTTAGCATTCGAAGTCAAGGACGTGGCATGACGTTTTCATATGCGCAAATTACTCATTTCTTTGCTAAACGAGTGCAAAATGAAGTGAAATCAGTGAGCCATACAAACCCCGTGGTAAATGATCATTTCCTTAACGAGAGAAAGAGGCAAGTGGAATCCCAAAGTCGAAAGGGTTTACAAACTAACAAAGACAGACAAACAGTTTGACAAACACAGGATCAGGTAAGCGGAACTTTGTAAACAACTTAGGTCTGTGGATTGCTCGTACCTTATGCCTTCCAATCCTTTGTTATGTTCTTAAGCACGCCAAATCTGGGAGTTTTACATGTCCTGATATTCAGAAAAAAATTGCTTTTCTTTACGTTGAACAGGGCAGAAGTTTCAAGCCGCGTAACGCAACATCCTGAATATTCATCAATATACCTTTAGGCAATACTAGTAACGTCATTTTAGCTTTGTGTTGTATCTGTTTTTATAGATCAAGATTGTTAGGCGGCAAATGTATTTTACAGTTTTGAGGTTGTGTTGATTCCTTGATTGAGTATTTTAAGCTTCGAAGAATCTTTTTCTCAGTTAGCGTTCCACCTACGACTGTAGCCCAAGTCACACAAAGAGCCTCCTTACGTAGGAGGCAATTGTAAGGATTTTTAAAGTCGTGAATTTTGACCGAAATTCTGATTTAGTAATGAATTGAAAAAGGGACGATTTTGAAAAAAACTTTCCTCGTTTCTGCGGGTGTTCAATTGTTCCTAGTAGTTTCTGTGGAGTTTCTTGGTGGATGATTTACGACTGTTCAGTTAGTCTTTAGTTTTTCACAGTGTTGTTTTACGGCTGTTCATTTCGTGTTTAGTTTTTGTTGTTTTACCCTCCATACTTACTTCCATTTAAGTTTCAAAAATACACGACCTTTTATTCCTACAATAATTCTCACATTTGGCCTGTTTTGTAACATCATGAGTAACGCGAATAGTATGCGACCTTGGGAAACTGAATCATTTATTATCAATACAATACGCAAACACAGTCCATACAAATTTGATATTCAGTAAGTGAAAGCATGTCACGTTGAAGGCCGATAACCGGTTTTAGAGCGTGTTAAAGGGGTGGTGATCACTACGATACCAGTTGCAAGAGAGATTTTTTTAGCTTTTTTCAGCCAGTGCAACATGCTTGCTCAATCAATGTTAAGTGAAGTTACCTTTTTTCACCTGGACTGGGGATGAAACTCGTGGCCAGCGTTAGTCGATCTGCTTTTCTCGAACCGTTGGTTATGTACGTGTCCTTGCCTACGACGTAAGTAAGAACCTAAAATTAATGAGACACGTTTTTACACAATAGTCGCGAACTTCCGAGTAGAGGCAACAATTGCTTGGCTGCTTCTACGTGCTCGTGGGCATGTTTTGACCGCCCTCGCGCATACAACTTTCTTTAAAGACGCAAATGAGATCGCACCAAAGTAAACTGAAAACGTGAGTGGAACATTATTTTGTCATTGGGTTGCTATTGACAAAGAATTCATTTCTGATATCTGCGGAAAACAACGTTTTCTGTTTTAAAAATAGCGTTGAAGATGGGGGTTGACACAATTAAAATGACCTAATGACCTCTTTACTCAACATTGTTCTGCTATCAAACAAAGTAACGAACTGTCGTCACCATAATGTCAATGCTGGATACACGCGACCATATGAAAGATTTTCGCTTCTCGAATCGACTTGTTGAGTTTAGTTACCTCTTTACTCGGGGAACCGTATCCGTTACGTATGTTCCTTGCGGATGAAAAGAAACAATAAATTTTAAGTTTGAATGAAGGGCCTATTTGTGACCCATATATTGTGTTTATTGTAAGAAATATACAACTTTTTTTGAAAGACATGTTTCGGCATGCATATGCCATCTTCAGTCAATGAGTAACTGAGTGTGAACAATTATATAGTATACAAATAGATGAATAAGCTATTTACAATATGATGTAATACAAAAGCGGGTACTAATTACAACGTGACACCAAAACATCAAAGGTGTAAACTAGAACGCTAGAAAAGTGTTATAATGCTGTAATTGTTTGTTAAGTTCAGGTTTGATCTTATTCATATAAAAAGCTTTTATGAAGATGGCATATGCATGCCGAAACATGTCTTTCAAAAATGTTGTATATTTCTTACAATATCTATCATACTTGCTATTATTGCGACCTTATGGAAATAAGGGCATGGTTTCTCCCATGCTGTGACCGCCATTTAATTTCGTTTCTACCACGCATGGTTGCACTGTTACTCCAACCCACTGACCTCTTAGTCTGTCTAACTCTTTTCCGCTTCGTTATGTGGAGAAATCTTTTTGTAATTGAGCCGTTGTTAAAACCATCGTGAGTGAGTAAGTCAAGTTATTACTATATAATGACCCGCTTGAGTTGCTCAAATTTTAATCGCTCCAAACGCTTGCCCTCTGCTGAACAGCCTCGCTCAGAGGCCGAGAGGGGAGGGTGGGGGAAAGTTCAAACTTCTAGGGATCAATCTTTCCTTTGAAGTAGAAGAACAAATAAATTCTTTTGATTTTTTTGTATCAGAGATGATCAACAGTGAACCTTTTTGTAAGTAGTCTGTTAAAACCACCATCACTAACAAGTCCCGCCAATCGACGCATGCCGATCTCCTCGTGTCCTCCAGCCACTGACCCTGCGTCATGGGCTAATAATGTTGTCGAGATCTGCGCAGGATAAATTCGCGTGTGTCCGTCAGAGGTGATAGAGTAAATGATCAAAAAGGGTTTGATCACTACATTGCTTATTATAGTGAGGATCCCCTATACTTTTTACGTGAAACATGACTGGGCGATTGGCTTTTACCAAGGTTTTGACTGTACGTGGACTTCATATGGATCGATAAAGTCATAAAACAGATCATGAATGGTTCTTGAACAAATCAGAAATGGCATCTCGTCCTTTTTTCGGCGCGTAAGACTAGTCAAGACTAGAAAAAGTAAAGTATTAATTTTTGAATTTGTTTTTCATTTGTAAGTGAAAAATTATCGTATCAAATTTCTCGTGAACGAGAATTAATTTTTAATATTACTCATGATACGTGAAAAGGCCAATTATTTTAATTTGACTGAATTTTACAAAGGGGTATTGAGAACCGTTTACATTTTGCTTAGCTTTACTAAACAAAAATACCCAAGAAAAACCTCATCAAATGAATGTAAACTCGCTATGGAGTTGAGGGCCCTAAGGAAGGTGAGATAACCTGCCTGTGCTAATCAGACCTTGATCGACCGGCGCGGTCCCAGCAGTATCCCTGGGTTGTGAACACGAGCTATTTTTCGACCACGGTCAGGCGGGTTGCCTTATCTACCTGGGATCCCCCACCTCCATGTAAACAGGTCCCAAAGGTCACAGTATCCGGGTCACAAACAGTGCATAACATTTAAAATGTAGGAGAAAGCTTTCAAATGTATCTTCATCTTCTGCTTTGTTTTAGTCTTTATTCCCTGATGTATTATATACATATATAAATATATATTTTTATGACGATTAAGTTGACTTAGAATATCGTAACGCAAGTGGGACAGATCATGAAGTGGCAATGGGGGCCTCGGCCGGTTATGCGTGTGTACTAAAAAACCTGGAGACAACAACTTAGCGTATCTAGCTCATGGTAGAGTAATTTGCTCCGAGGTGGAGAACGTCACGGTAAAAAACCATAGAATTTGCACGGAAAGTTACTTTAACGCCTTCAGTGTCGACTTTTTTCAAAATCTGTTTGGTTCAATAATTGTTTTGGTCTTTTACCGAAATAGACAGTAGACTTGTGACAATTCGAATTCTTATGTTGATTGATTGATTGACTGACCTGAATAATTAGTAACAAGGGAGAAGTGAAATATTGATCTTTTTCTGAAAGGCCGGTTTTAAACTGAAAGAGGATTCTTACGAGGTAGGCTTGGAACATACTCTTTGTAATAAAATTCTCTCACGAGTACCATCAAATTCCATGACTCAAATTTTTTGTTTGACATTCTCTGAAGTGTCTCGCTCTGAGCTATCGCTCTCTGATCACGATCCATATCACACTTTCTACCACGCATGCTAACTAAATATCGTGTCAGAGCACGGCGAGTGAGTGCAGTGATCCGTGTTATGGAAGACCTACGACTGCGGCGTGTCCAAATGAGAGGTAAGTATGGTCTTTTGCTCGTTAGAAGAAATTAATTGTCTGCGAAATGACTTGGGTTAGTTATTTATACTGCCAACTGGTAGAAGTATATGGGAATTGCTTCAAACAACAGTTTGATATCAATTGTGCAATGGTAATTAATTCGCTAAGTGTTTAAACGCCGTGATCAGTAAAATGATTGGTGAAACTGAGTTTGGAATTTGCCTTTCGAAGGAACCGAAACTGTAAATTATTAATCCGTCGTTTTGTAAAAAACAAAAATCAAAAGCACGATCTTAAAGGCGAGAAAATTCCTCAGATTCAGATGATTTTATGGTTAGTATTGACACAGAGTTGACCAGAATGATTTGTAGTAGTGGAATGACTCGGAGAATCGTATTCCAACCGCCTAAATCACGCTGCAAATCATCTTCTATGAACGTAACAAGAATGTATACTCTTTGAAGTGTTTTTTCGGCAGAAGGCGATGCTATATGTAAGAAATTTGGTGTGGCCATTAGCTTTGTTTTGTGATGCGAAACACAATTATTAACACAAGCCAAGTTAACCATGAATATGTTAATAGGTTTGTCACACACGCCGTCGGGTCAAGTGAAGACATCTCCGTAACCTTTTCGGGTCTTGCGTGTCAAAGGCACTGTCTTTACAGATCGGAGAAGAGTAATCTCGGATTGAGTTTTAGTATGAACAGACTAGTTAGCGGATCGAATTGAAACACTTTCACACAATCATTATCGCCCGTTTAAATAGAGTGTCGTGTTGGAAACAAAAGCATATCATTAACAGATTGGACCCGAGATAGCTGTCACCAGATGAATATTATTGTTACCTTGCAACAGGTAACAACAGTTTCTCTGAGTTCGCAAGATTAAAAAAAATCCCTCAAGTTACGAATGTGCTAGCGTTGTATGAACATTACGCGCCGTAGCAACAAGTGGAACATCAAAGAATGCCCCCAGGGCCATGTATTTTGACCCCTTTGTTTGAACTGATCACAAATAACCGCATTGGAGGGTGATACATGGAACGAGTTCCCTCTTTATGGAATCATGACAGGATGATTTTCAGCGTACAATGTTTGATCCTCGGAGAAAATTATTTGCCGTCGTTGGTGCGTGATCCAGTTATTATACCCTCTATTCGCCTTTGTGGCTTTCAACTATAATTTACATACATCGAACTCGATGTCTTTGAAAACTTCGTGCGCGTGAGACATCCCGTGACAAGGTTTTAAATTCTAAAGCCTGCCTGAGTGTAGTCTGCTTGAAGACAATAATCTCCTTTCCAGGGTTATATAGCAGCAAAGGCTAAGTTCATTTTTTGTTCTCGAGAACACTCCCGCAGAACGATTTTGGTAAAGCTCAGTTTCGTTTTGTTCAGAAGCGATAACAATAGGATAGAAAAGGACAATAGAAGTTAAACCTGTTGTCGGATGACTTTAATATTTGCCAGTTGTTGGCGATGTAGTAAATTAGAACGGCGTTCGTTCGTCGCACTTTTATTACCAGCTGCCTTGCATACCGTTACTGAACTAGATGGAAGCTGTTAAATTATCGGACGAGCCACGTGAAATTTAAGACAGAAACGTGCAGATTCAACTGCTAAAAATGAATTGATACCCCTTACTTGTCTTCATATAAAGAGACATTGATCTGTAGCGATAGTTCCACAGCTTGCCAAAGCAACGCCTTGATTACTGCCTTTTGAGAGACGGTCACGAGAGATTTTTATTTTAGGTTCGTTGAAATGCGTTACATGCTCTTGTTTCAATCGCTTGTTTATTATCTCACTAACATTATCATCTTGACCACTATTTTTTAAAATGTTTTACGTGCTTATTTACCTCTTCGAGTAAATTAGAAAGGGTAAAAGGACAAGTAACGCGAAGCGCTTTTCGAAGCATGGTGAAACTCGTGAGAGCTCGTGATAATCGCGTGTATTTTTTCACTTGGGTCTTAAATTTGCGTAGGAACAAAGTGTACTCTTCAATCCACCGAAAGCTTAAAGCCATTTTGATAATCATTCCAACAACGGGTTCGGTAAGTTATCTGTTAAAACGTAGAATAATTTATTGAACTTTTGGCAGAATCGGCTCGTCTGTCGTCGAATTGATTTTCATACCTAGCAGTCAGAAATTTTCACCGAATTTCCCTTGAAAGGTTCTTCCAGACTTCTTGCGAGTAACAGGTGTTTGTTTATGAATGTCAAGCGAATCCAAAAGTTATTTTATTTTGCAGTTGATGAAATGTTTGAACTTGGGTTTATCATAAAATCATTTTGTTCTTCAGTGGACACAAAAAAATTTAGCTCATTCCGGTCGTCAGAAGTTTTGACCAAATACACACAGATAATTTCATGCAAGCTCTGTGACAACATTCGATGTTTGTTTACAAATGTTAAACGAATGTAAGAATTATTTTGCCTGTTTAGTAGACAAATTTTACGATCCTGTGCAGAGCATTAAATCGCCAGTTTCTTGTCAAACGGAAAACATTTGTGAGCAGACTGCATAGCACAAGATCAGCTTCTCGTTAGTAGCAATACACTCGTGGGTTGAAAACGAAGGAGTTAATTACATACAACTCTCTACATATAGTTCTAATTGCATATACTCTCTAATAGTACGACTGTACTTAGGTATAACGAAACAACAGTGAGAAAAGCTTCTCTTGGAGTTTGGTGAAAATTTGACCGTTGATTATTCTGTCTATGTCACCTCACGCCCGTTAGGCGAACACAGATGTTTATCAAGTTCTGAGAACCTAGCGATTAATGCACTGGGTGGAAAAAAAAAAAACCCTGCACCAGTGGAGAGTGAAAACTGTGAAACTCTGTGGCTGCCGGGCGTGTAGCTCAAGTGATAATTTAATTGCTCATTCAATACACAGGGCTTAGCAGTCTTTTTCTTTTTTTATTACGCCCAAATTTTTTAACTTAGTATTCGTAACTTAGTTCATGTAGAACTGAATGATTTATTGTGCGGCTTCGCTAGAATTTGTATAAAGGGCGACTCGGGGAAATATTCTATTTTTTTATTATGAGAAATAACTTATTGATTCTCAAGATATTGAAAGCGCTGACAATGAAGATTTGCATTTTAGAAGATAAGTGACATTGAATCACATAATTACACTTTGGAAGAAAATCTGATGTAGGAGGCTACTTTACTTATTTCGTGTGGGTTTAAATGTGTTTTCTGTCGAAAGCAAACAACGCCAGAGCGTCAGGTGATATCCGCGTAGGTTACCCTAACAGCGGTTACGAAGATTGAGGCCTCTTGGCGGCCACTAGTGTGATATCGAACGCGTGCTTAGCGAGATCATGTCACGCACTTCGTTGCCCTTGTTCATGTTGCGTGCACGATCGTAGTCGCCCCCTTAGGGGATATCACTTACTCAATCAGGCATCACATGTCTCTGGTACATATATATTTCTCACTCTAGAAAAAGACTTTTTTCGATAACAAGTGATCAGAACATCTATTTTAAATCCCAAGAAGACTTTGATTCCCTTCCGTTTCAAACATAGCAAAGGGTCTGGCCGGTGTGACATTTGTTCTGCAGTCGGTCGTTGAAAACCGCTAGCCACGAAATACATATCGCTGATGAATAGGGATCTTTCATGACAATTTCCGGTGGGTAGCTTCATCCAGCCAGGCCGTCATAATTATTACCGAGAAACGCCAGACTAAAATGCGGGAAAACATTTAGCTGATGAAATTACCGTGTATCAGTTTCCATCAGCGTTTATTAATCGTTCTTCTCCTGTTTATATTTTCAGTTGAACGCTGACTTCAGATATTTGAAAGGATAGCACGTGACCGAGTGGGTGACAGTAGGAACCAAAATGTATTCCCTAAAAGACATCACGAATGGCTGCGTGAAGATAGAAATCCCTGAAAATCCACACTGTAAAGAAATAATCTCCGCTTGCGAGATGCCAGTGGTCAAAGTGGAAATTTCTGAGTCAGCTTGCAGTACTGTCAACCACCAAACGATTTCACTGCCACAGGACTCCATTTATGAAGTACCTGCTACTGAACAAGTAAACATTCGAGAGGATGTGCTGAACATCCAGATCAGTAACGTTCAGGGCGCGCTTCCTGATCAAATCGCTGACAAGAATGCAATGCCTGTGTATCAGACAGAAAACCACGTCGATAAACCAAACGGCCACGCAGAAGTGCATTCTCCTGCAATTGATGACGGCAACCAAGAAGATTTACCACCAGATGATGGTGTGCAGAATGGTAAGCTGTCCAACTCAGTAGCTTCTCGCGAGAAGACGTCTCCCAATATGTCTCCCAAGATGTCTCCGATGGAAAGTGAAGAGCGATCTCCTGGCCACGACTCACCTCTTTACAACGGGGAGGCATCAGCTGAGACGGCTCATCAGGATAAAGAAGTTTCCTTCCAGTCAGGTTCTCCAGAGAGGGCGTCATCTTACCGAACGAGCCATCGGTCAGATACCTTGCCAGGAAAGAGCCAGTACATGACTTACCAGTTGGGTTCCAATGGAACCAAAGCCGCTTATCTGTTTACTACCCCAGGGAAGTTATCTCCATATCAGAATGGTACCTCTGAGAGTTCTCCATCCAACCATGCGTTGGAACCCATATCGACTCCACTGAGTTCTAGTGCTACAGTGCCTCTTTATCATATGGAGGAAACACCAACTTCACAAAATGGGTACTGGAAGAAAAATGAGAATTATCAGATCAGCTACTACAATGGAATGCCAATGTACTATGGTGACTATAGCTTGCTCGATCTGCAACAAGGAATTCCATTTTGGCCAACTGAGTCACGTGACTTGGTGTCAAACAACCAGAAGAGGACCCAGAATTGCAACTGTTGCTGCCATGCACAAAATGATTTTACTCGTTATCCTGACTTGAAAAGCCAGCGCCCCTCAGTTATCATGGTTCCCGTAAACTGGAACAGCAGTAATTCTGGAATATCACATTTGCCATTGAAGGTAACCAGAGAATTTTCCTCTTTGTGATCATTGATTCGACTGCTTTATTTTCTTGGCAACATGATTTTAGCTCACATGAAAATTATTCAGACATAAGTAGATGGGACTTCATTCATTGCTGTTTGACTGTTTTATAATCCTTGGGAAAATGGTTAAAAATATAGTTGAAAATAAATTTCTTCGTTGAATATCGGTCTTGAAGGAATTCATTCATGTTTAAACAGCTATCCTTGCTGTGATGTCTAAAACACATCCAACCATTTTAGGCATATGTTAAGTAGGTACAAAGTTACACACTATAGTTGCTTTTTTTTCGAAAAGCTTTTCCTTTTCTCTACCAGCAGGTTGACAACGCAAATTACAAGATGCATTCACAGACCCGGGACGTTCCCATGGTAAGTTATTACTTATCTTGTTTAAGGGATTGAAATACCAAACTGGTCATTAGTATCTAACCTGGGTTTAGACCGCTAATGGAACTTGAAACAAGTTTTAAAAAGAAAGAAAAAATGTTCATTTATCTTATTCTTGTTGAAGTTCATAATGGAATTTAAAACTATCGTTTTCACACTTTCGATTTTCTACATGTCAGAGTTTTCTTCAAGAAAAAAATTAGAAAGAAAGTTAAACATTGTATGGAAATGTTATCAAGCGGTACAAATTTCCTTATTAAAAATTTCTGACAAGTTATTTTCCTATGTGTGCTACATAAATCACATGATATCCTCGATACTAAGTATCTTGCCTGTGGCCAAAACTTTCCAAATATTTGTGCGGCCAAAAAAAAAAAAAATAGGGAAGATATGAGAATTAATCCTCGACTAAAAGCACTTAGCTCAGCTGGCTCAAGCGAAGATTAAAGAAAAATCAAAATACAATACTATTGCAGTCGCCTCAATTTGCTTTGGTCCTAACAAGTGACTTGGTAGGTCAGTTGGCAGTATCACCAAGGTATCTGAGAGGAATAGGTTCCAATTCCGTCGAAGCCTGATTTCTTTCATTCTTTTTTTTTTTTTTTCTGCAATTGCTTAAATTGCAGTGCGCCTGCGAGAATCATCACTTTGCTTGATTTATTTGTTATTTGCTTGATTTCAAAACAATACGTGACTCATCTGCTGTATTCCAAAGCATGTGACAGCCATCATACACAGAGGCTTCCAAAACTGTAACTTACGCAATTTGTTTTGTGTTTGTTGATGTATTTAATTTTACGATCGCTGAGTAAACCACATGATTTGATTTTTACGAATTTCACGTTGATCTCACGTGAATTACTTCAACAAACACTACCCATAAAATAATTATTTTCTTCAGTAATTTTGCTGTCTTCAAACAAGTTACGAAGCTAAGTTCATCGTAAAAATAACTTTGAATGTGTTGTGAATTCGTTAGAAAGTAAGAAAGAGCTTAAAGCAGGACTGATTTATGTTTTAGGAAGTTTAAGATGACTTTCTGCAGGGTGACTGAACTGTCCTTGGACTTGTGTGCTCAAATGCACGAATGATTTTCTTCTAGGATTACTCAGATGACTCAGATTCCTCCGATGATGACGAAAACGGAAAGCGAGAAAAGTATTTCCGAAAGAACATCGATGGAACAACAGCCAGATTTAAGTTAACGAAGGAGGACTGGGCGAGAATTCCAATTAACACATTCCCTAGCGGTGGCCGTTTATTGAGTGGCGACTGGACACGAATCTTCCTCAGCAAAGTCAAAGAAAGCAACCCATGGTGCAGTTTACGCTTCAAGAATAATCACGTGAGATCTGAAAACTCACGCAAAATCCACTCAGCAGTATTCTTCAGAGGAGGTGCGGAGTGCAAACGACCAGAATGCAGCGTGAAAGTACGATTTGTCATTCGGAAGGAAAGAGGAAAACACGTGGAGGTGACTTACCTGGGAAATATTTGCCACAGCAGCCAGCCGGGTGGGGGTGAAATCTCGAGCGAGGCAAAGAAAATGAAACGTGCTCGCCGGACATATTCTACTTGAACTGAGTTTCGTAGAATTTGCTGGAATAACGCGTTTATATTAGAATTCATTTTAATTTGAGTTTAAACTAAAAAGTTGACGAATTGAAAACTTAAATGTCTTTGTTGAGAGTCGTTGTGTTCGCATTAAAGTGTTTTGTTTTTCGATTCTTTTTCTTTTGTATAAGGTATTATTCTGTGGATGGCATATTTTGTAAACGATTGCTGGACTTTACAAGAAAGTTGAAGTTTGTAACTTTATTTGTGTTGGGAAAGCAATCCTGTTGCTCAACGTGGCTTGTATTTATATGCTAATTTGAATTCTAAAGAGTGTCTATTTGAAACAAGTATATTTACATATACGCCTTTGAACAATATGCAAAAACAATATTTTTTCTACAAAAGAACAGTTTTTGCTACGTTTATGTAAGGAAATTTTAAGATAATTCTATCATACTCTATTTTCGGTAACATCGCTTTTTCACAATGTAAATTTATCAATCTTCGTCCATTAAAAGGAAATGATGTTGAATGTCGAGTTGTATCTTTAAGCCCATCACGTTCTGTCGATCAGAAAAAAGTTGGGTCTCATGTGGTGGTTTTGTGTGTGCAAGGGGGGAGGGGTAAAGGAGTTGTACCTCGCCAGAGCATCACGGTCCTAAATTCTACCACTGATTTATCCAAATGCGGTTTTAGGGCCTGCTCTACCCCCGCTACCCTCCCTTCCTCTCTAATCAACCACGACCTCCTTCTCACCCCTTGGACAAAGCCCAAAAGCATGCTGCAGCTGGCAGTATATCCCGTCAGTTCTGACCTTTTTCAAAATATTTAATTCTGGAAGGACCCATTCGAAAAGTGTTCGGTACATAGAAAAAATGCCTTTCCCAAAAGGAGGTAACCGTGTGGTTGTGCAAGTCATGTATGTCATTATCTCCCACACAAGCAACCTCGCCCTTTAGGCGGTTTTCGTCAACCCCCCCCTCAGGAAAAGACCGCCCATTCATGTAATCTCCCTTTTCCTTTGTATATCTCATATTTTCTTTTCCCTTTAAATGGACTTTGATTGTGTTCCCACATTTACTTGACATTCGCCTACAGCGGACCGACATAATCGAAAAAATTAAGAAAACTTATCTCTAAGAAGTAGTACTGTTCTGTTTATTGCTGGATTTAATTGACTTCTGTCTTCGAATCCAGAGGCGAAGGTAGGCATTTTAAATTCACAAATTATAGTTCATGGCGAACTCAAAATTATGGTACCTTTAATTACAAAATGATTGTTCATAGAGAGAGAAATCATTGCTGGTGTTTCGAAACACTTTATAAGTATCTTAAGAACTAAGAGTTAAAGCTTGCTCACGTTTTAGATTTGAAAGGGTTCCACACGCTTCCGGCAAAACCGTGAAATATCTCGATCCACGAGTTAAAATCTGTCTTTTCACACAGTTGGCTTTTATACAGTGTAACCCTTGACTTGTAGTAAGAATACACTTGGTGGCATTTTTCTTCATGAAACCTGAAACAAAGATTTTCAAATCATTTTGGCAGGCGTCTGACGGCCAACCACGTACAGCGAGCGATCGTCAATCAGCAGCAAAGTGTTGGCGTAATATCCTCTTCTCTTCCTCTACGTAACTCTTTCCTCTGGAAGTCTGTCCTTCATCACGTTTTCTTTTCTCCTTTTGCCTAAAATTTTCCGTTTTCTGCTTCTTTGGTGCACTACCTCCTGAAAGAACAAATTTCACAGCATTACTTCAACTTGTTTGTTTCATAACATTTTGCGAACAAGCACATTTTTTACCACCATTGGCAGTGATGTCACGACCTGATTGGCCAATTTGCCGTTGTCGATAAGAGTAAAGACAACGCTGCTCGCGTCAACGTGTCACGCAGCGTGCAACGCATTGAAACAAACGTTTCATTTGACAGCGATATTGTGGTAAAAAACAAATCGACAGTGGCCTTGCGTGGTCAGTACGATTATCGACAACAATATTCGTCATCACAGTGGTCAATATATTGTGGACTCACGGGAACCGCTCAATTCGCCTACCACCAAACTCGCATGCGCCAAGTCGCCTACCACCAAACTCGCATGCGCCAAGTCGCCTACTACTAAGTCGTCTACGACTAAAAGTGAACCCGTCTATGTAGGCGAGTTTGTTTACTAAATTAGGCGAGTTCACATTCGAGTTTGTGAACTCAAAAATAAAGAAATAAACATAAAAATAAACATATATGTTTATTTCACTTGCGCGGCACTTAGCAAAGGTGAGACTTTTTCAACTTCAATAGGATATTGTTTAATGTCCCTTGCGCGGCACTTAGCAAAGACGGTGAGACTTTTTCAACTTCAATAGCATATTGTTTAATGATACGTATAGAAACCTGTCAATGTCCCGCGCGCGGCACTTAGCAAAGAAGGTGAGACCTTTTCAACTTGAATAGGACATTGTTTGTGACGTAACTCGGGGAATGGTATATGGAGCATAATCCCAATATCTGCCAATCACATTGCTGCGATTTCGATCCGTCCTCAAATTGACTGACTGCTATAAAAAGGGCTGCAGTTTCTTGTTCATTTCATTCCACTAAGCTTTTAGGAAAACTCTCGCGACAACAATAATTAGAAATAGAGAGGTTTTATTGCATCTTCAGCACCAAACAAGTAACATCTCGCCAAGAGGCACTGTTATGTGATGGCTGCGACAGTGAACTTATCTAAGTGAACTATTGACGAAATTCACGAACATTATAAAGAATGCCAAGATGACGTTCACATGACCAAGAAAACGTGCTATAATCACAAACATTTTCCACTTGAAAGGCATGCATTACTTTAGTGAACTCGCCTGCGTGAGGACGCGAAGTCGCCTACGTAGCGAGCTGAACAGTTGTAGGCAGGTTTGTTAGTAGGCGAGTTTGGTCGTAGGCGATTTGACCGCAAACCGGACTCACGAGGTGCTGCCGAGTGAGTCCGCAACAACACAACAACGCATCTCGAGCTCAAACACCTAAACTCAGTGACAACAGCTAACAAGCGTAATAATAATTTACATTTATATAGTGCAGACCTCTATGTGGATATATTCAGTCGCGCTTCACAACATCGTAAGGTAAAATTTATGTTAAAAGTAACTAAAACTATAAGGAACTATTAAAACCGGAAAGCCGCGGGTTTCGCTCCCCCCTCCGCCTTCGCTTTGACTCTCTTTAGCTTGTAGCTTGAGGTACCCGAACTACGGTTACAAAGAACATTACGATTATTGTAAATCAGATACAATGAAATATATTTCATTGTATCTGATTTATCACTTTCACGGGTTTAATACGAATCAACTTAACGGCCTGCTGCCAGTTGGCGTGTTAGCTCAATTGGTAGAGCGCTGCACTAGTATCGCAGAGGTCAGTGGTTCGAATCCCGTACAGGCCTGATTTTTTTTTTCAGGTCTGATTTTCGCTATTGCTTAAATAGCGCTATCTACTGCGAGGATCGTGCATCATATGATTATTGTAAAGGGAACAAGTTTGGAATACGCTCTTAGGTCAAACGAGTCTTTATTACTCGAATTACCTTTATTACTCGAAAGACCCGTCCAACCCTTAGCGATCGTCCCTACCAGTCAGCTGCGCCTTATCTCTGGAACCCCAATAGAGCCAAATTTTTCTACCTCGACCCTCTAGAAAGGCTACAGACCAAATCGTGCCGCTAACAAGCAAGCTTCTGATTCTGAGAACTTGAGGAATACAAAAAATTAAAAGCTTACCTGCAAGAGAGGGCAGAGAAAAATTTGTTCCGCAAATAGCAACGGCAAGGCATACGTGAGTGCCGAATATCTTACCTCTTTCTTTCAAGATGTTTAAGGCGGTGGTGACTGATCTTTTTTCGTGAACGACTAAGTGCTTCTGTATGTCTGAGATCTCCTTGCCGTATTTGACTGGAGCAGAAGAAATGACAGCATCTTCGTATTCTTCACTATCTCTGCTGCTCTCCGTCACAGGAGGAAATTGTACAGGAGGAGCTGAATAACTGCTTGGTTCATATCGTTTTGAAAGCGAGTTCCAATCGACGTAGCTCTCCTCTTTAGTTTCAAGAAAAGCTGGTTTCCCTACAGTTGCGAACAAAGTTGTAGGTGAAGGAAGCTTTGTCTTGGCTGCTGATGCATTACCTGCAGGGCTGTTGGATTTCAATTTATCTTGCTCGTCATTCCTAACATTACTTTCGTTTTCAGAGTCTTAGTTCGAGCTGGAATCTCCGACAGTAAAGAATGATAGAGGATCTTTATCAGCACTGTTGCCCTCCTTGTTCAACGGTTCGTCCGCCATCTTAGATTTTGTGAATACATGGTAACAGTGAGCAGCGGTTCTCCATAAAATCAAACCCAGGTTCTCGCAGTGTTATTCTCCAAACGAAGATATCATGGAATCTTTTTCTTTTCGTGACAGTACCTCTCCCTTTTTGTAAAAAATTAGACGGGTTAAATGCCTCAACTAAAAGAAGCTAGAAGATATCGAAAGCGCCGCGAGGCAGAAGAAAGTGACGATGATCAACAGGAAACATCTTCAACGAGTGAGGCGTTAGAGGAAAGGAAAGAACTACAACGATTCCGGAAGCGACAGGCTGGAGTGTCGGCTGTAGCTCTTGCTCTTGGAAAAACTCTCGCACCAGAAGAAGAAGTTGAGAGCGATCCTTTTAAACTGAAAACAGGCGGGCTTGTGCAAGTGAACGATTTGATCCAGGATAGAAATCGTGACAGAGAAGGGGAAGACAAAGAGAAATCGATTAACTTAGGAGCAAATTTTGCTGCCGAAACAAACAGAAGAGATGAAGATACTCACATGTTGAAATACATTGAAGAAGAGATGGCGAAGAGGAAAGGTGTTGCACCGGATAAAACTATTCAGATTAAGTAAGTAACTATTTTTATTTTGAAATGGGTCTGTGTACGTGTGGATGGTAAGTTTGTTTTGGGGTATTGTTATGATATTAAAGTTAATCTGTTTTAATTACTGCTACCCCTCATTGGACCACTGTTTAGTTAATCATAACTGGCATAATCCAAGTTGTCGACAGTTCCTAAGTCATACTAGTTATTTAAAAGGCCGTTCACATGGAAGAAAAATTCGGGCGCGAACTCATCAAGAAAAAGGAATGGACCTTAAATTTTTGCCAGTGTAAACTATGCGGACCAGTGTTTTTTCAGGTTTTGGGTCCATGCGTGTCTATGGCCCCAAAATTTAAAAGAATATGGGTTTATAGCACTTTTATCGTTCTGACATCAGCTTGTGAGTGAGAATGTCCGAGAATGTTCCAACTGCGACCTCAAATCAAGTTTTGATTTGTTGTTTCTGCCTAACTTTTCTTTTAATAGTTCCATGAGAGCAGAAGAAAACCTACCATTCACTTATAGATTCTTTTCTGATCTAGCCTTTGCAGTGAGAGTTCTCATCTTGCTAGGTTCTCTTAAAGTGCACCTAAACCCAAAAATTTTTTTTCGCTTAACGAAATAAGCTTATTTTTTGGAGTATTTCTGTGCAAAAATTTTTTAATTTGCTTAAATCTTAAATTTTCTGTGCCTAGTCAAAATACGGAAAATCGGCCGCCATCTTGCCCCACGACCGAGTTTAAAGAGGAATGGCTCTAGCGGGTAATGTGACGTCAAATCGAGAACACGAAAGTCTGCATTTCACACATTTTCGCTTGTTTAGGAAGGTTGTAGTCGATTTTGTCCGAAAATATGCCGACTAAGTGTGTTATAGGAGGATGTAGCAACGTGCGAAATTTGCAAGAGGGTATCACGCTTCATACATTCCTCATACAATACACCTGGTCGGCATATTTCGGACAATATCGACCACAACCTTCCCAAACAAGTGAAAATGTGTGAAAAGCAGACTTTCGTGTTCTCGATTTGACGTCACATTATCCGCTAGAGCCATTCCTCTTTAAACTCGGTCGTGGGGCAAGATGGCGGCCGATTTTCCGTATTTTGACTAGGCACAGAAAATTTAAGATTTAAGCAAATTAAAAAATTTTTGCACAGAAATACTCCAAAAAATAAGCTTATTTCGTTAAGCGAAAAAAAATTTTTGGGTTTAGGTGCACTTTAAGGAAACCCAAAAATTTTTTTTCGCTTAACGAAATAAGCGTATTTTTTGGAGTATTTCTGTGCAAACATTTTTTTATTTGCTCAAATCTTCAATTGTCTGTGCCCAGTCAAAATACGGAAAATCGGCCGCCATCTTGCCCCACGGCCGAGTTTAAAGAGGAATGGCTCTAGCGGGTAATGTGACGTCAAATCGAGAACACGAAAGTCTGCTTTTCACACATTTTCACTTGTTTGGGAAGGTTGTGGTCGATATTGTCCGAAATATGCCGACCAGGTGTATTGTATGAGGAATGTATGAAGCGTGATACCCTCTTGCAAATTTCGCACGTTGCTACATCCTCCTATAACACACTTAGTCGGCATATTTTCGGACAAAATCGACTACAACCTTCCTAAACAAGCGAAAATGTGTGAAATGCAGACTTTCGTGTTCTCGATTTGACGTCACATTACCCGCTAGAGCCATTCCTCTTTAAACTCGGCCGTGGGGCAAGATGGCGGCCGATTTTCCGTATTTTGACTGGGCACAGACAATTGAAGATTTGAGCAAATAAAAAAATGTTTGCACAGAAATACTCCAAAAAATACGCTTATTTCGTTAAGCGAAAAAAAATTTTTGGGTTTAGGTGCACTTTAAGCTTAAGGTAGATCCAATTGTGTGCTCCCTAACTTTTTTAAAGGTGTCTGATCTTAATTTTTCAGTGGTGTAAATTGGCTTTCTTATTAGCATCCAGACTACTGGAGACAAAACTCACCATCTTTGCTCAGATAGATGTATAGTTAATATATTTAAATGAATTTGAGATGTTGGCTGGTTATTTTACTCCCAAGTCCAATATCACTTATCACTTGTCAATTCCAGGTTCACTAGCCCTCCCCTCCCCCCTCTCCCCCCCATAGTTTGCTTATATAAAAATATGGGGCTCATTGATGGTTGTTGTCATTGTTGTTTTTTTCATTTTGTAAGATTTTTTGTTTTTAATTTTGTGGTATTTGTTTTTTTTTTTCGGGTGAATGTTTGGTGGTGTGGTTGGTTTTAGTGGAGAGGTGATTTAAAGTCAAAACATCTCCACACTTTTTTAATTTGGGAGACTGGCATCTGTGCCAGATGGAGTGCATCGGTTTTATAAGTTGTGGGCAATGGCAAAACTAGTGCAGTGGGTGCTTGAGTGAAGTACATCAAAGCTATGTACAATAAAGTCTGTAATGGTGCCTGTAGCTCCAGCCTCCTAGGATTCTGATAAAAACAGTGTTATTTATTTTTTGTTTTTAATTACTGTTAATGATGTTATCTTTTGCAGGCCAAAATCAAAAGAAGATTTGCTGTACCAGGTTCCAGAACACATTAATGTGAGGTCAAAGATAATGGCATCAGAAGAAATGCTCTCAAATCAGATGTTATCTGGTATTCCTGAGGTGGATCTTGGCATTGATGCAAAAATAAGAAACATAGAGGCTACAGAAGCAGCTAAACAAGCTGTGATTGACGAACAAAGGAACAAGAAATCAAAAGAACCAACTGAGATGGTTCCAACTAACATGGCTGTAAACTTTATGCTGCATAGTAGATGTAAGCTATGTTTCAATTTATACTTTTTACATGTTGACAGTTTAGATAACATCAAGTGCTAGGAAATTCCCCATATGAAGTCAATTTCTGTAAATGCTTTGATAAGTGGAGTGCTTTGAAATTGTATTAGTTTAAAAATTTCTGTTTCATGTAAGGACAATTGGAAATACAGACTTTTGAAAATGATGATTGAAATGCTAAGTAACACACTGTGGCTTTCTTCTGCATTTTTGGATGTTTTAGTGTGGACAGAAGTGGAAAAAATCGAAATGTTTGCATTTTGATAAGGAAATGCTGTAGCATGGACAGTCGAAAGCATCTTGAAAGTGCTAGTCTGATAAAAACTGTTTTGCTTCATTTTACTTGAGAAAAAAATAGTACTCTTTGAAAAACTTTTCAGTGTTTGATTTTATTTATCAGTAATATTTTATCAGACTGGCTGGCAGTTCAGCTGCAAGCTGATTTGAATGGGGAGTTGTGATCAGGGCCAACCAGTTCACAGTGTTACAGTGCACAGATTGAATCACAACCATCTGTATGGTCACTGGCAGTAGTGGGATTCTTTGAGCAAAACCTCTGCGAATCACTTGTTAATAGGAACTGATTTGAATGTGAATGTTTTCCAGTTTATGACGAGCAAAAGAACATTGATGCAGAAAGTAGGAGGGTTTCTGCAGCAAGAGACAAGGCACAAGAGCAAGAGAAAGCAATTAAAAAACCAACAGTAAAGGCTGATGATACTTCATCAGCATCAAACAGCCAAGCACATGGAACCAGTGTTACTGTAGCTGCTGCTCCAAACAAGAAGAGAGCTGGGGACAAAGTTGAAAAGGCCACTGATGATTTCTTTTATGAGAAATTTAAGAAACGAGCAAGAGACTCGTGGAGATACCAGTAAGGTACCTCTGTACAATGCTGCTTGCTTGTGAATCAGATGCATTGAAAAATACAAAATGTCAACAAAAGCTGACAGGCAGCAGAAATATTACTATGTTATTAAGGTTCATTCTTCAACACTTGTAGCCCTCTCAAGAGTTCTAAAACTATACACTCTTATTCATACCAGTAACTGTATTTTAAAGTAATTCCTCGTGTTTTTACACCTCTTGAAGGATTTTCCTCAAAGTATTAGTGTCTATGATAAAAAAGGACTTATTCCAATAGACTACTTAAAAAACATTTTTCCTGTCTCAGTGAAATACAAGAAACTGTTTAGTTTTGTAGTCTAAGTGGTCCAAACTGTCACACCTCATTCATATCTTTGGGACATGAGTAGACACAAACTATTGGTAATCTCCCAAGCCTTCCTTCTTTTACTCTCTCAAGTTTGGTACCCATCCTCCTCTACATTTAGGGAAGAAGCATGGCCTTATTTCTTAAAAAATCAGCTGGCATTAAGCCTATCTTTACCAGGATCACTATTTGTACCCTTTTTCCAAAACAAATTTCAAGGACTTTTCCAGGACTCCAAATTTCACTTTATTTCATTTTTTTTTTTACTTTTGTAATTTTTATTGCTGATCCATTAATTCAGTAAAGTTCATGAGCCAGAGTATTTTATATTGTTCACTTTGTCAAACATCAATCAAATTTGACAATGTTTAGAGGGGAATTTCAATTTCTTAAAATTTATGAATCACGTTCATCAAAGGGGGTAGAGTCATTTTGTTTGCACAGTTTATCTTCTTTACTGTTGGCAGTTTCCTGAGTGTTCAAGAATATGCTGACAGAAGCAAGAGCTTCTCTCACCCAAATAGGATAAATTTCATCTGGAAACAACCTTTTCATAAATTTGTGCACAAATTCAGGAAACTTGTCTTGCTTGATACTTTCTCTTATATCACGCATCAACTTCATCTGAAATTAAATTAAAAATAACCCTCCATATTTTTTTTAACTAAACAAGTTTTTTTAAATTGTACCTGCATTCTTCATATTCCTCTTTTGAAGTATAGCTGAGGGAATTTCTCAACATAATTTGCATTGGCTTTTGTAAAGGGAGCAAAACAAGGGAACCCTCTTAGCAGGGAAAAAATCATACCCATATATAATGCAAGGCACATAAATCAAACTAGAACCACACTCTAACAACTTAACTTCATCATTCTATACAATCATTGCCAAGTGGTCATGCTATACATTTCCTTTTGATGTCTCTCACAATCTTGTAGGCCTCAATAATAGCATGACATGCATTTCTAGTATCAGTCCCAGACCCCCTGCAACCAAGACCAATCACTGGCTTGTGTTACTCAAGCCCTCATACTTTTCCCTCCCAGGGAGAAGAATCATTTGTGCTGAACTGCTCTTAATGAGGGCCAGTACCTAGGCTAACAGTCTTGTTTCATGGTGAAACGTACCTGATAATATATATTATGAATTGTCAACAAATGACAAGCAATTTCTTCCCTGCCTAGCAAAGAGTTGACATAAGCACGTGTGTGATGTTTACAAGCCAAACATCTGCAGTCTCTGTCGATAGGTTCAAAGTCTGTAGAATATTGTTTATTCTTTAAGTGAAGTTGACCCCAGGGTACCAGGGCTGTGCCAAATCTCTGGATTTGAATGAAAATACTAGTCAATAGGGTTATGAATTAATTATCAATTAATGAATGATCTTCAAAATTCTTGTCAAGATCTTTAATTTTCTTGCCAAGATCTTTCAGGATCTTCAAAAGTATTGTCAAGAGCTTGAAAGATCCTTGAAGGTATGGGTGACAAAATGAAAGATCTTGGCAGGAAAATGAAAAATCCTTGAAGATTGACCTTTTGAAAGATCTCCTTGTAAGATCCTTGATAGGATCCTCGAAGGTCCTTCTGAGGTGAGCAAATGGTTCTAAAACTAGACTCCATTACAACACTACAGATCTAATTTTTATCATTTGGATACATCAACAAAGTTGAAATGGTAAATTGGCCACCGTAATGATTACAAAAGCTGACGTTTCGAGCGTTAGCCCTTCGTCGGAGCGAATAGAGGAATTGTGGGTTGTGTGTGCTTTTAAAGGCAGAAAATGGAGCTACGTTATTGGTGGGAACATGGCAACGAGAAAAATGACAATAAGAAAAAGTTTTGTCAGGTCAATATGACCTGACAAAACTTAATTTAGGACATCTGACTCCTATTTTCTCTGCCCTATGCTAACTGATAGTTTTCTATTGAGATTATCCATCCCTTATGATTAACATGGTAAACAAATGAACAGGTGGAGATATCTTAAAGACTCTTACAGAAACAATGAATCATTTGGATGAGAAAAGATCAAAGATAACACAAGCACTGCCTGTTGAATCATGCTCAATAAACTTTTTGTTTTACTCTACTTACTGCTGTTCTAGTTGGATAGACACAGTCAAACATGTCAACTCCCAATGCACAGCAAACTACAAGATCCACAGCATAGCTTGAGCAAAAAAATGTAAAGGATGATTGCAAAACAGAACAGGAAAAAAATGAGGAATTTAATCTTGATATCATTGCTAGAATGATTTTACAATAATTTTTTCTTTGAATGCCAAGTCATTGTTTGCACATGATCCTTACCCAACACCCATAAGATATCTTGGTTTTTTCTTTGGTAGATGATCTGTACACAGTGTGACAGTTTTCCAAAATAAAGATTTCTCTTCTCCACCACTTAGGCCACCAATGGCAATACCAGGAGTGTTACGTTGAACCATTTCTAGTAATTGAATATTCAATATACTTGGTCATATACTTGTAAGCATTTTACAAGGTTATTGATCTTGTAGGTTAGAGAGTATTTACATGATTTTATATGCATACTTCCAACATAATTTAGCAGCTTGTGCAGTAAATGGTTTGAACCAGGGGGTAACATGTGAAGGTGTAGTCTGATTGTCTGGGTGAGTGTAGTCCTGAGAAGGACTGTTGTCGGTGGTAGTCTACTGACAACAATCATTCACTTGACCCTGATGATGACTTCCGCACAGGTTGTCGAAACGTCAGTCACTACCACCGACAACAGTCCTTCTCAGGACTACACTCACCCAGACGATCAGACTACACCTTCACTTAGCAGCTTGTATTGGCCTAATGATCAGCTGACTGGATTCAGGGCTGAAAGGACAAGATACAGGTTACATGCTGGTCATTGCATTGTATTGTTACTGTAACCACACAGTATCCCACCCAGGAGTACAAATGGGAACCAATGAACTGTTGGGGAATCTGACAAAATAGAATGGGGTAAATATGACCTATACATGCAATAGGGTAGCATCCCAGCCAGAAGTGGTGGACAAGAAGCCTTATGAAATGAGTGTCTTGAGCCACAAAGTTTTAGCAAAATGCTCCACAACAGAGGCTCAAACTATTGCATTGTTATGCTATGAAAGCCAAGAAAGCTCAGACATCAGACATCATGTGGGTAGCTAGGCTCAGGAACAGATTTTACCTTTCTTTATGACACTTCTACAACAAAATACCTTTAATGCAAGTCTTTCTGAGTTCCAGATTTAATCCTCCCTGGATTATTGCAAAGAGATTTTGCTGTGTTGGCTTAGCATGGGCTGATATACATCTGTCTAACCATCGGATTGACCGCAACATGGCCTCTTCAACTCTTGGACCTACAGAAACAGTTACCAGAAATTAGCCAAAGGATTGACTGAAACATGCCTAAAAGATGGCCAAAGATTTTTTTTTAGGGATGGTATGGGACTTTTGAAGTTCTTCTCTTCTGATTACTTGCTAATTTTGGCATACACTAAATATTATTAAATTTATATGTTTTTAATTTGTTTTACTTTATTTTCAATAAATTTTTAATTACAATTATCTGTTTTAATGATTCAATGATGAAATGAATTAACAATTGGTTCCTGCTTTAGCGTGCACTATCGAGTTATGGAGCATGCGGAAGTTTGGAGAGCACAAAAGAAGCGTAACAGTTGCCCAAGGCGATAGCCGAGGGCAACTCTAGCTTCTTGAGTGCTCTCCAAGCTTCCCATGAGCTCCATAACTCGATAGTGCACAGCTGAAAGCATGAACCAATTGTTTTAGAACATAGCCGGTGGAATTGTGCATCAAATCTGACACAAAAAACGGACAACAATATCAGTTGAAGCGAATCATGATGCCTCTGATGAAGTCTCCTTTCCCGTTGTTTTTCTCTTTTTCTGCCTCATTTAAGAACTCTAGCCCAAGGGAAAAGATCAAGACATTGTCTTCATTTTCTGACTAGTAGGCCAAGTTTCTGTTTGTATCCATTATTGTCGCAAAATATAGTATATTTCCCTGCGCTGACAATGGCCGCTCACACGAAAAAAAAAAATTTCTGGCGAAGCAATTTGCTGACGCTGTCAGTGTGCACTATCGGGATTTTGAGCATGCTTACGTATATTGAATTTGATTTCGCAGTTCTGCTAGCTATGTTCTAACATAACTTAGTTCATGGTTGAAATAAAGGTCTTTAAGTCTTTTTTTTCTTGACCTCTTTTCTGAAAATTCCTTTAAGTACAGCTGAGATTTTTTAAAAATTGGTTAACTACAAAATTTAATCCAATCATATTGATGACTAGCAGACTTATCTATTTTTCCTAAAACAAACATTTCTTATCACTGTACAGTTATTGTTACTGGAGTCAACTTACAAGGCCTCCCAGAAAATATATCATTATCAAGGCTTGACACTAACGGTAGCCCACTAGCCACAGACTAGTAGAAATTCAGTTTTGGCTTGTGGTTTTCAATGTCACTAGCCACTTGGCTAATAAGTTGAAAATTTAGTGTCGAGCCCTAATTATGATTCTATAGGTTTTGTCCACTAGTTGTCACTGGTTGAAGGATAATATTTACAACCGTAGATAAAGTCCACCTCTATTTTTTTTATTTTTTTGTCCTCTTAGACATATTTACAATATCCACAGTTATTAGTATAAAAATCTGCTATATATGACATTGAATAGCTGTGCTAAAATAGAGAAACTTTAGAAGAGATCTTTAGCAGGTTGCCAAGGTTACCATTATACTGATTTAAGTTACCTGTCGTAGTACTGCTGACCACATCATCTAGTTGCATTATGATATCAGCTCCAATGGAATTCTGGATCTCAGTTGATTTCTCGGGAGTAAGTAACATTTCTTTACCATCATGGGGAGACTGGAACTTAACACCTTCCTTTGAAAAAAGAAATAAACATCTCTGTATGCACTTAAAAATCTTTTACTTTAAAATCTGTCTCTGATACCA